CTCGAACCCACAAACTGCGAGATCATGATCTGAGCCAAAGTGGGGCACTTCGCAGGCTGAGCCACCCAGGCGCCCCGGTCATCCTTAGTGTTTTGATTGGTGTTGCAACCTGAGATATTTACTGGCTTAGATTTCGGTTTGCTTAAGTAGACCTCCAAGGAATCAGAGCCACGTCAGCCTGGTGGCCTCCTTGTTTAATTAATTTAATGGCAGGGATCTGAGTTACGTGGGTCATAGATCAGTGCTCCACTTGAGTCTCCCAACAGAATCTCATTTTAGACTTAAAAAAGGTAGAGAGTTGAGTCTTAAGTCTGACAAACACAAGCAGAAATATCTGATGAATTTAGATTTATTGTATCAGGATATTTTGTCATCCATTAACCTGCTACTATGACCCAAACTACTCTACCTAGATAGATATGTGATTACTAAGATTATGTGTAGTTACAAAACAAGTTTTCACCTTGCTTCCTCTTGTAAAGAGAGGAAGAGATTTTCTTAAACCAGTATTTTTTTAACCTGAATCTTCAAGATATGCAAATGACCTCAGTGCAACTTCCTGTCGCAGGGTAGGATTGACATTTACGTGCATAATTTCTAATTTCCTAAGACCCACCCGCCCAAATTGTTGTGTTTGCCGCAAACAATTAGGACAGAGGGTGTTTGTGGAGGATTAATTAGCGATTAGTGGGCAGAGTTGATGACCTCCAGCCTTCAGCAAGTGACATTTTTCCCTGGCTGTTCATCCATCATGACTCATCAGTGATCTGACCCTAATTATTATAAGACTCAGCTCCAGGGAAGATTGTTCTTGGTGGAGGATTTTGTTTTTCACATTTTGTTCGACTGTGAGTCATTATGGATTTGAATATATGAATACCTGTTTCTGGTCTGGAATGGAACAATTAAGCCTTCCAGTGGATACCAATTATCTTTCAAGAGGCAAATGAAATACACGAGTTTTATAAAAGAGCTGCCACATCTAGCTGCGATGGTTCTAGAAGCGCGCGTGCCTGCCGGGGACGTGAGGCAAACAAGCAGGGGCTGATGGTGCCAGACGGCTTCGGGGTCCAGGACACAGCACGGCCAAAAGTGCCGAGCCGCTCGTCAGTCAGCAGACGAGCAGCAGAGCCCCTTCATTCTGGTGGCGTCGCTCAGAGAGTCAGACAGAGCCCGGGACCGTCTCCTGACCGTCTGGCAGCGTGTCCTGATTGGGTTCGGCTCTTGAAGTCCACGGCTCGTTGAGAGTAGACACCTGCGGAACCGGAGTGAACAGAGAGGCGCCAGCCTCAGCCTGCACCTGCGACCCCCCCCCAGCCGCACAGGGGCCTCGGCCGGGGCCTCGGTTCAGAGGGCGCTCGCGCTCGTCCGCGGGCTTCGGTGTCCACGGCCCCATCAGACGCTCGGCTCTTGGGCCGCATTCCCCTGCGGCACCAGAGCCCCCCTTTCTCGTGCCGGGTGGAGGGCTCCCGGCCGTCCGGGCCTCGCACCTGGGCTGCGGGTGGCACGGGTGGGGGAGGGCAGGGACGTGCGCACAGAAAACAGGGGTGCGTCGCCCGGCGGGCCCAGCCCACCCCAGCCTCACCGGGCGGGCGCCGTCTGTGTGAACTACCCGTCGCTGCTGGGACACACCATCACACGCTTAGCAGCTTGCCACAACGCCAGTTTGTCACGGTACTTAAGTCCCAGGGTGTCGGCAGACGTGTTGCTGGCCGCCTGGTTTCCGGGGCTCCGGGCCCCTTGCTCTACCACAGAGGCAGCAGCACAGCACCTCAGATCCTTCTGGACACTCTTCTGCCTTCCTCCTCCGCTTGGCAGGGTCCTTCTGATGAGACTGGACTCAGCTGGACGACCCGGGATGCTCTCCCATCTCAAGGAAGGATGCTTTGCAAATCTCCCTTTGCAGCCTAACCTGATACAGTCACAGGCTTCAGGGACCGGGCACGGCCATCTTTGGGGTCATCATTCTGCAACCCACTGGCTTTGTACCCATTTTACAGAAGAGGGGATAAAAAAGAGATGGCCCAAGGTCACGCTTCTGTCAGGCGGGGGGCCCGGATTTGCACCCTGGTGGGTCCGACTCCACCAGGCTTCTCGTGAGCTGCGAGCCTGTGAGGGGAACGCACCTCCCCCTGTGCCTGACACACCCACAGTCAGGTGCAGGCGGCTTTGTTCTCTAATGCCGCTTTGTCCCCAACCTGCAGCAGAGGGGGCACGGACGTCACTTGGCTTCAATTGCTTTGTAAACATTTTAGTCATTTATATTCAAGACAGATGTACAATGCTAATGACGTTCATTTCGCCAAGTAGGACATAGAACCATCCCCGTGAGTCAACACAGCTGTGACTTCCCCGGCTTTGTTTGCCCAGGGACAGCACGAGGATCTCCGAGCCACAGGGGGACCAGGTGGCCGGGCTCAGCGACTCGTCCGCCACACTCCAGTGTG